TCGAGACAGCCTTCCGCTGATCGCACCTCATCTTCCCATACACCCGTTGCAGGACCCGGCCACGGTCTGCATGGTGTCGGCCGTTATGGTTATGCTGAGCACCTTTACCTTCATGCCTCTTGGCCAGGATCCAGGAGCTGTTAAAGCCTTTGGAGGAGCCCAGCTAAAGCTAGAGGTAAAGGGACCTTTCGGGCGTGCTCGCTTAGAGCAACTCGGACCCAGAATAGGAGAGTAAATGGGAGACAGCTGGGAAGACCTTGAAATGATGTTCATCAATTATAAGTTATAAGTAGAGGGCCAGATCGGGAGGGTCTAGATCGGGATGGTTTTTAAGAACCCCAGAAATATATTATGTGTATGTTTAAGTTTTTTTGCAAAATAATTCATGTATTTGCAGACTTACTTAAATCATAGTATTCCTGCAAATGTATGGTTTGAGCACAGTGTAGCTTCTTGATCTATGCCGGCACTGACGGGCACAATGTGAGTGAGAGGCTGATTGATTGATGGATCGGATCGCATCGGATCGGATTGGATTGGATTGGACTGGATTGGATGGATGAATTGATTGATTGGTTGGTTGGTTGATTGATTGATCGATTGATTGATTTGATTTCATTGATTGATTGACTGGCTGACTGACTGATTGATTGATTGATTGATTGATTTGATTTGAGTTGATTTGAATTGATTGATTGATTTGATTTGATTGATTGATTGATTGACTGGCTGACTGACTGATTGATTGACTGATTGTTTTGATTTGATTTGAATTGATTGATTGATTTGATTTGATTGATTGACTGACTGACTGATTGATTGATTGATTGATTGATTGATTGATTGATTGATTGATTGATTGATTGATTGATTGATTGCTTGATTGATTAATTGATTGTTTGATGATTTGATTGATTTGGTTGATTTGTTTGATTTGATTGATTTGATTGATTTGATTGATTTGATTGATTTGATTGCTTGATTGATTGATTGATTGGTTGGTTGGTTGGTTGATTGATTGATCGATTGATTGATTTGATTTGATTTGATTTGAATTGATTGATTTGATTTGATTGATTGATTGACTGGCTGACTGACTGATTGATTGTTTGATTATTTGATTGATTTGGCTGATTTGTTTGATTTGATTGATTTGATTGATTTGATTGATTTGATTGATTGATTGAATTGAATTGAATTGAATTGAATTGAATTGAATTGAATTGAATTGATTGAATTGAATTGATTGATTGATTGATTGATTGATTGATTGATTGATTGATTGATTGATTGATTGACTGACTGACTGACTGACTGACTGACTGACTGACTGACTGACTGATTGATTGATTGATTGATTGATTGATTGATTGATTGATTGATTGATTGATTGATTGATTGATTGAGTGGGCAGCTCAGGACACATTATGATTCTGAGGGCTGTGGAAGGTCATGTCAAGTGCATCAGAAAGCATGGCAGTGTGGAAACAATCAATTTGGCATATCTCACAACAACACTTTAAAGGCAGGTTAAAGTCAGGGGCAATTTGGTTAGCCCCAAAAATCTATCTCAAGCAATCTCCAAACCTGCATTCTTTTGCATTTGTTATCTCAAAATATATATTTTTATCTCAAACAATCTCAGGACTAATATAGTGCAATATTACTTTACAGGCAGTGTCAATTTTGGGAACCCCGAAAATCCATCTCAAAACATCTCAAAACATCTAACAAATGCAAAAACATCTCAAACAATCTCAACACATCTCAAAAAATATCAAAAACAAATCGAAGCATCTCGAAACATTTCGAACGTTCTCATTTTGCTCAAGTAAAGCAAGTGTCCTGTATCTCTTGTATTTGTGGTCAGGAAGCAGCAACACTACAGAACAGTAGGTCCGATTCGCGCAGTCAAACCAATTTGTTGAAGCAAACTGGGGTCAGCACAATCTGGAGCAACACAAGACCCCCCCCATATGGTATGGTCCCCCAGGACCCCCCCCCCCCCCCGAGACCCCGAGCCCCCGGATCCTGGCACCTACGGTCCCACCCCCACCCCGACCCCCTGAACTCGCACCCCGACACCCCGGCACCCCCACCCCCAGGACAAGCCAACCCGCAACCAACCATAAACCAACCCTAAACCAACCCTAAACTAACCCCAAATACACCCTAAAACAATCCCTAAACAATAAACCCTAAACCTAAACCAACCCTAAACCAACCCTAAATTCACCCTAAACCAAACCCTAAACCGTACACCTCTAAACCTAAACCAACCCTAAACCAACCCTAAACCAACCCTAAATCAACCTAATCAACCCTGAACCAACCCTAAACTAACCCTAAATACACCCTAAATATACCCTAAACCAATTCTAAACCAACCCTAAACCCAACCACAGGACCACAACCACAGGGGGGGGTACTTGTCTGACCCATGACCATTGGGGGGGGAGGGGGGGGGGGTTGGCAACGCTGTACCATATATAGATATATGTATAGCTAGCAAAATGACAAGCAGTCAGCGGAATAGTGTTGGTCCAACCTGGAGTACAACACCAATTGGCGGAATATAGCTATAAAAGGATGATGATTCAACTAAAAAACACTAGACACTTATTGCATGAAAATAATGATTGACTTGAGAAAAACTTATATTATCCATTTTTTCTTAGGTAAATGACAATCTATTTGCATACATATGTTGTCAATGAGCAAATTCGTGTTTGGAAACCCTCCTGATCTAAACCCTGCTGATCTGAGCCTGAAATTCCGGTCAATGAGATTTCCGGCGGATTTCCAGAAGCAAGCATGCGGACAACAACCTGGAGTCTGGTCACTTGGTCAAGTCAAGTCGACCGGGTACGGCGACCTCACCCATACTCAAGGTTGCATTCAATGGAATCCCGCATTTTTGAATATTGCAATATCCATGAAGTCTTGGTGGGCCATGGGTATTGGGCATCCCGACATTGCGTCCAAACACTGGCCACAGGGTGATGCCTGGTTCGTTTCACTTCAAAGTGGCTGATCAAAACTTGCCGGTCGAATGCCCCATGCGTTGCACCTTTGTTTGCAGCTCGCACTTCAACACAACACATGCATAGTCAAGGGTGTTCAAGTCTCATGAAGACAACTCCCGACACCTTGTGACCTATGTTTTCCTTTTGCTGATCCAGCACCTTTTAGCAGCTGCCAAATGGTAAGCATCCCTTGCTTGGACATTCAGTGGGATTTAACAACCATGGGAACGCTGTTGTTTTGTGTCAGATAGATTTCAAGGAACCCCCATTCCATGATGGAGACGGTGGACCCTTCTAGTTCTACCAGTTGGTTGCTCGGTGGCTCGCGAAGGAACATAAAGAGCCCCAAGCCCGAGCCGGCCGCTGCAGCCGCGCCCGCCGCGAGCGCGAGCGCGGGCACGGCAAATGCGGGAAGCTCTGGAGAGCCTTGGTAGCGGGCTGCGAGATTTGGAAAATCAATGGAGGCATGGAACCGCATATGTTCTTTCTTTCCATTTGTTTCAAGCTAAGAGTCACTCACAAAAGATGGGCGCAGACATGCAGAGACACTCAGGGCCCCCAATGCTACACTGGGGGGGGGGGCTGATGCGCTCAACAGCTCACAGTCAACATCGATCGCAATTTGCAGTTGTGACTCGAAGTACATGAGGCACCAGACCAAATTGACAGGACATGGGCGAGACTTGCTCTATTCTCAACGTGATGCGCAACGAGTATTGTCCGTGGCTCTTCACAAGAAGGATGCAGATCATGGATTTAACCTTCCCTCAATGTGTCATGGTGTATCGTTGTTAGGAACCATTTGTTGGTTTGGTTTGAAAGTACAACAGGCAAGCAACCATTAGGGGCCCTCATAAAACATTTACTTGCCCCCGACAACTGCGTCTTAAAACGGGTGGCCATTTTGGCTTGATTGCTTGCAACTCCTCCTGCGCTTTGATTTGAGGACACGGAGATGGTCTCGCGATGATCCATGGGTCGGAAGTGGGGCACATGGAGCCTCCCGTTGGTGTGAGGAAAGCTCGGGGGGGGGGTCGTTGCCAAGAGCCTCCCTTTGCCCAAAGCGCCCAAAAGGTCGGTTTTGCGGACCTTCTCAGCAATGGTCTAGCAGCTGTGTCATAGGAGCCTAGAACCTCCCAGATGATAGATTTGAGTTTGGTTGCTGGGGACCCTGTTGTTGACACATGCCTTTTTGACTTCCCTGCTTGATGGGTTTGAACGAAGCAACTCAATGATTAATCAATGGTATGCCAAATTGATTGTTTGGGCACCATCTTTGTTTTCGCGGGCGAACCCACCAAGCAGCAATTGTGGATGGGGGTTGCCGTGGTTCGAAGTGGCTGGAAGGCTCTCGTGCCTGTAGGGAGTGCAGCGGTTGGTTGACAGAGCGGTGCAAGAGGCAGCGGCAGCAGCGGCAGTAGCGTCGCATTTCAAGGACTTGCATGATGGCAAAGCACATCAGTGGAGACCTTTATCAGCAGGCAAGCACTAAGAGTGCCTGTCCGTCTCGCGATCGATTGCGTGCAGACAAGACAGAATGCAAAAGAATCCGGACTCTTTTCTACAATAGCTGACAAATGGTGACCTTGTGCCAGTGTGTGCGGTTGTGTTGTTCTCTAGCCCCAGCTGAAACGACTTGTGGCCTTGTGACGATGGATAGCAGCTAATTGTGCCTGAATCCAGTAAGACTGAAATATGGTTTCCGCAAAGTGATGTTGATGTGACGCTCGTTTTCATTGACCGTCCATGTTGCTTTGAGCATGTTGCTTTTGCGGTGGTGAGAAGCAGGCCGAAGCAACTATTTTAGCTGGGTGAGCGGTGCTTGTTATAAATAGCCCGACCCAATCGTCGAATGAGTACCAATCTGGTTTCCTTAGGCAGCCCGGTGCCGGGGTGTTGTTTGGGTATTTCTTAAAATCGGGGAACCTCCGAAATGGTGGTTTTAAACTTGCTCGCCAAGACACCGACTCTGAGGCTCGACCGTGTTCGAGCCGCTGTGTCCGGCGTCGCCAAGGCAGATCTTCATTTGCGCGCTGCGTTGTTGAGGCGCGGACGAGAAAGCTGGCCACGTACGCATCCCCTGATGAATCACAAGGAAGCCGGTGCACATCCAGAAACATGCCCAGTTACATTCCCGATGTCCGGCGAACAGACAATTCATGGTTCCAGCCGTCGGGGTCAGTATGTTCAGCTCTGGGTAGGGCTTCAGAGAGCAAAAGCCGAGACAACTGCATTTTGACGCGTCCTGAGCACTAATTGTGATCCAGCAAGTCCGCAGTGGTACACGGAAACCCTCAGGACTGTGGCTATAAATGTTTGAGCGTGCGCGGGTCCTTGTCGTTGGCGGCTTTGGCATAGACTTGGCAGCATGCATGAGTGGTTCTACCATGATCTCTGGGGAGAAAATCAGGTATACGTATACGCGCTATGTAGGAGGGCTGTATAATAAATAAATATATATATATATATATGACAATTCCCTTGCCCATTCCTGCCTTGCGCGCTCCGGCCTTTTCCGCAAGGTTGTGCCAAAAGATATTGCCTGCACCCAATAGACCCCATGTCCCCTCCTTTCTGAAGTCTGCCAGTGGAGATGCAGGATTATGTCGATTTGTTTGACTGAGGCAACACTGCAATTGCACCCGAGAAGCTTTGGAAACCAAAGCGGCCTAAGAGAAATTGGTTAACTCAGCTCCCTTCTTTTCCCGGCACCCCCGGGGATAAACCCAGTTTAGATGCGCCAAGTCTGAATATGGCACTGAATTTAGATGGGGAGCAGACTCTACAACGGTAGAGGGTCACATACTAGGCCACGCTGTCCACCAAGTCCCCAATCAATCTCATACCTATATGAAGATTCGCTTAAAGGCATTGACGACTGCTAAATGTCCAAAACGATGGGAATGGGATACAGTCATGTTGAGCAAACAGAAGCATACACCCAGCAGGTGTCCCATGAATAATACTAGTAAACGCCTTCATGATGCACGCACGCTTGGCAATGCTGTTGTAATTAGAACAAGACCAGTAGCACGAATAGGGGGCATCACGATCAACCCAGCCAGGTAGCGAATGATCTTGTTTACAACATTCAATACATTGGTTCCATGGGTACTGTTTGTCCTCAAATGTAAACCTCCATGATCCTCCATGGGTAGTTTCCTTTTGAACCCCACAAGGCCGTCCCTCAATCAAAGACCTTCATGCGTGTCAGCTCTGCTATTGTTTTGCGGAAACGGCAAGTCTTCGATTTGATTTGGATGGCGTTCGGGTGTGAAAAATCAATTTGCGCAGCCTCACATGTGCTGTGTCAAAAAGAGGACTTGGACCATGTCTCTCGGGTTTACCGTTTGCCGCCAAGTTAAGAGGGTTTCTACACTCTGAGGGGGGTTTCCATGTTTGCAGATCAGGTCGCGAAAAGTCCTCGCTTCCTGAGTTTCTGGACTTTAAGCTTTTTGGGCAGACCATTTTGGTGGTAAATAAGCAGTTCCGACTTTTTTGGCCAGTGCACTTAGGAAGTGAGAGAGAATGGGCCTTCAGATCGGGATAGGCGCGTGCAGCTGCCCGCCATCACTGGACCGCGGCAGCTCATGCTGCGCACTTACCGGTGGGGGAGGGGGGGGTTTACCGTTTCGGTGGCTTTAAAGGGAATTGGACACCAAGCATTCCCTTCTTTTTGGTGGCTTTAAAGGGGAGGCAACAAGAAACCAGGCAGACTAAGCATTATAAAATTAGACAATACGTTTTTTGTTTGTTTTTTGAGGGGGCCCCTAGGCACAATGAGCATGGTAAGCTTATGAGGCCTGTAAGCCTCGGCAAGACCAAAGGTGGACCTCCTGGATGACCCAGTCTGGTTTCATCGTGTTTTTGATTTTATTTTCTTTTTCTGGGGGGGGGCTTTTGGGGGTGGCGGGGGAGGTCCCCATTTAGCGTCCAAAGGTTTGTCAAATCAGCATTGACCTTCACATATATGCCATTCTGGGCAGTTGAACATCCCAAGTCCGAGCAGGCATGCTGAAGGTTCCTGAAAACTGTTTTGGCCCCTGGAGGAGCACGCTTCTTCGCTGTGTACAGGGTTGATTCCGGTCAAGTTGCAAGCAGGGAACCAGACAGATCCTGCATGGTTGCCAGCACAGGTGAATGTCCAGACTAACTTTATTTGAGTCGTTCCATCAAGATGACCGGTCGTGATAAAAAAAAAAATGGGGTGCCTTCCCCAGTGCACGATTAGCTCACCCCGGTGAATATTTACACACCAAGATGAGCCATAGGCGCTCTTCGTTTCAATTCAACACGGAGACTACTTGCAGTCCGTATTCATGGGTTTAATGTTTCTTGGTTTTAGGCAATCCTGTTTTCCGGAGTTGGAGTTTTGCTAAGACAAGAATCAAATCCAAGTCTTGAGACTTCAACTGGATGCCAAGGGTTGCAAGAGGCCACGAGTGTCTTCCATTAGGTGCAAGTTGACAACCTTCGGAAAGTGCAGGTACACCATGGCTTAAACTTTCTGAGGGCCTGACCTTGCGACGAAACCTGCGCCTGGCTGCTGATTTGTTTGGCTAATGTGGGCGAGCCCGGCTTGCTTCTCTAGGTTCCCTTCTAGGCATTGCTCCTGGAAGCCAGCACGAAGGAATGGGGTTGACCCCTATGTGGGTGTGCGAAGGCCAGACCGAGAAGAGCCTAGACAAGAAGTGGCTGCAGAGTCAAGCGGTCATCTGTTTTGTTCAATGGTGACTTTGGCCGCTTTTTTCGGGAAGTGGCCTTCACAACTGGTCGTCAGACACCATCGAACAGTTGTCTGAGAAACGAGTTCAATCAACACAGAGAGCTTTGTTGTGGCCCAGGCTGTGCGCAGAAATGCACACACCTTGAGCCTTTGAAGCATCTTCGGAGTAGAGCCTGCGGCTTTAGACCGCCAGCTTCGTTGCAGATGAGTTTCGTACCGTGAGCCAGAGCCAGCACAGGGACAGGCCATTGGAAGCACGATTTGGCCCTCGAAACTTGGTCAAACCTAGCTTTGCAGGATAGTAGTGGACAAGCGCGGCTTCAACTGGCGAAGAGGTATGTCCAGGTAGGGCGAACAACATCATGAGCATGGCAAGCCAGCTGTGCCAAACAGCAGCCTGCAAAGACAGTCACAACCGTTCACAAGAATCAGCCAAGTTGTTTCCAACTCGGCCCAACTATCCAAAGTGTGTTCAGTCGGCCAGAAAGAGTGTGACAAACCACATCGGGTAAGTGCAGAACTGAAAGTGCAGGTGAATACAACTCATAGAACCCAAGCGAAGCGTTGCAAGAGCCAAGGCCGGAGCACGATTCCTTCGCGGCGCATGCGGATCGAGCAACTGTCGGGCCCACAAGTGTGATTCATTCTTGCACTGCGTGGTAATTGGGCAAAGATATGGGTGTCTTGACAGGCGTACCCAACAAATGACTACCGTGTCATACCTGGATCTTCCTAAGTCCGATTTGTTCTGCCTTTTTGTGGGAAACTGCTTTTTCAGGTCATTATATTCTTACCTGGAGGCAATTTTCCAGTGTTTTGTTCTTTGGATGTGTGCAACAAACTGGCGGAGGCGTTTTGCCCCGATACAAAAGCGTTTTTTGGCGATACAAAGGCGTTTTTTGCCGAACCCTTTTCTAGGCAGGTGTCCCAAGGTCGCTTTTTGAAGGAAAAGGCGTTTTTGGATGGAAACGACAAACAATATGTAGTTACGGCAAGAAGCGAAAATTATCCACTCCGGGTTTTCTAGGTGTAGTGTCCTTTTGGCGGGGTCCCCTCAAATTTGCGGTATCAGCTCGACTTCGCGACGAGGTGGCCGCTTACCACTACAGCGCCGTGCTGTACCTCAGCGGCGCAGATGAGTTTCAAGACGGCGAGTTCCCTTGCTGAAAATGTGCTGTGATCTGGTCAACGAAGATACCCCAAGCTATATGCCCCCTTACAACCCCATTTAGTTCGCGCCGGGTGCATACTTGCATAGCTACCCGCGCGGCGTGTGTGCATGTCCTCGGAGCTTGGGCATCTATAACTCAGGCTGACTGAACCTCAGGTCGACATGAGCAGTTTTGGACCAAGTCAGCAGACATGACACTTAGCGGGCGTGCTTATCATGTTCCAGCGTGCGTGATGCGCGTGAGCGGGTGTGCTTGTCATGCGCCAAGGTGCGCGCAGCTCTGACGTCACGCGCTTGAGCAGGTGTGCTGATCATGTCCCAATGCGCGTGCAGCTCTGACGTCACGCGCTTGAGCAGGTGTGCTGATCATGTCCCAATGCGCGTGCAGCTCTGACGTGATGCGCAAGAACGGATGTGCTTATCAGGTGTCAACGGGAGTGCAGCTCTGGCGTGAAGCGCGGTTGTTTGCACGCAAAATGGGGGTAGTGTCATTTCAGTTGACTCGTTGTTTGTTCACCTCCCAACGCAGATAGGCCTCTGATCACGGACGCGCTTGATGAACACAACAGTCCACATTGCAGATACTGACAACCCCAGTGCTTCAACCGCCCTGGTAACTGGGGAGCACCCATGCGGCTGAAATGTATTGAAACCGCCTGAGTAGCTTCGTAGGAGCTTGATGTTTTGAAACCGTCTGACTTACTCGATATATCTGGCTCATGAGTCGAATCAAAACCCGGCCACATATAGCGCATCGAAATGTGTGGTCCCTTCTTGCAGGCGCTTGCCCAAATGCGATGACCCTGAGTCCAGTATATATTAGCACCTGAACCTTCAAGGAAAAATCGTTGACAATGGCCATGGATAGCCTGGGATTGTTGCCACCCCAATGGCCGGGCTTTGATTGTGACTCTCAGAGTGCTGCGCATGTATCGTGGCATGGCATGAAGCAGGTCGCCGCATATGCCGCAGCAGCAACTGCCACAGTCACAGCCGGTAGCTGCAACAGCCATGCGCACGGCCACGCAGCCACAGCCAAAGCCACACAAGCGCAGCCACAACAGCAACAGTGCACAGGGGATCCGGATGCGCCATGGAAAAGGCGTTGTGGAGGCGAGGGCACGACGGCTCGAACTTGGCGGCCATCCCAACACACGGTGCGCCCAGCCCCCTGCCTCCGTTGCGCAGCATGCATGCGTGTGGTCACTGGTATTAGTTTTGAACATGTGCTGGATAATTGCAATGCACATGTGTACCCAACGCCCGTGTGATCAGCAGCCTCCTTTTTTGTTTTGCCCAGATGGCGCTGCTGTTGTCCGGCAATGCCGACCACAAAGCCATGTGAGATGAGGGTGGATCTCCTGCAGGCAGCTTGCCGGCGGGGGGGGGGAGAGAAGAGGGCAGGACGTGGGCACTGCAATTTCGGAGCCTGCCCTGAAAAATTTTGAAGTGCGCGCTATATATGGATACCCCGAAATGAAACCCAGCAAATATACATATATATATATAGACATGAACAGGCACTGCAGCTCACTGACCCAGGCCTTCTACATAGATCTGCTGCAGCAGCCTGGCTTTAAGGAGAACAGGTTCCACAGCATGTGCAAGGACTTGGCCGCCCAAGTCATTAAATCCTGTGGTCTAATGCTTTGCATGTACGACCCTGCGCAGGAGTTCGGGGTGTCGGAGGCTAAGGTGAAGAAGCGGCTTGCTCGCGGCGAGGCTCGCCTTCTTATTATGCGACTGCAGCTGTTGTAGCGCTGCTTTGTTAGGCCCCGGTGCCCTTCAGCTTCTTGGACATGCCAGGCGGCAGGCTGCGCTATGGCATTGCCGGACACTCATTGCAAAGCATCGCCATCAAGTGTTGGCCTGCCTGCTAGGTTGATGAAGATGCAGGTGGTTCCGAGGTGAACTTTGAGTTCATGCTGGAGTGGATAGGCAGTGTCACCACGTAGTTGCAGATTGGCGCACACAGCTTGCTCGGAGGTTGCCTTGCTGGCCATGCACGAGGAGTTCAACCTGGTGCCAGTGAAGTCCGAGGACAAGGGCAAGAAGGCCAAGATTCGGCAGTGGGCTTCCCGACAAAAAGACCTGCAGCGTGCGCAGCTACATCGTGAGAAGATGCCGCCAGAATGACCATTCCAGCAGGCAAGGTGCATGATGCGCAATGTTGCATTCGGCGTTCATGACCCTGCTGCAATTGCCCCTTGTCCGATCCTGTACTGGCAGGCGGCCAAACATGGAGAAGCTGAAAGGCGTGATCAAAAGCTTGACGGGCAAGGTGGAGCTTGCCGGCCACACCAACTGCGTTGCCCCGCCAAGCGGCGAGCTCTCCTCATCATGCAGCTCCGACGGCATGATCAGCCAGGACCCCAATGACCAGCCCAAGCCCAAGGCCCTCACGTTTCAGCAGGAGCCGCAGCAGAATGCCGCCACGCAGGTTGCTGCCATGGCCATGGAGCAGGAGCCGCGCCATGCAGCTGGTTGCCGCCATGGAGCAAGCCGCATGAGGCCGCTCAGCAGGAGCCGCAGCAGGAGCCGCAGCAGCATACCGCCATGCAGCAGGAGCCGCAGGAGCCGCAGCAGCGGCTGAGCGGAATCCCACCCCCTTGCCAACCCCGGTTCGGGCGATCCCCGACGTGACTCCGACGCCAGCCCCGCAGTCGCCTGCAGACTCCGTCAGCCTGCAAACGGAGATGGAGGACGAGGTGGAAAGTTTGGAAGGGAGAAAAACAACGTTCAAGGATAGGGAGCCAGCGGCTCCGATGCCGGGTTCTGCGGGACCCGGAGCTGGTGCCAGATCTGGTTGGGCTTGCAGCACAAGCCAGCGCAGATGTGGGCAACCCGGCCCTGCAGCCGCTCCTGCTGCAGCTGCAAAAGGATCTCAGGAAAGATCTTCTGGAGAAGGAGGCGGAGGCAAGGCGTGCGTCAGATGCCCGCAAGCTCAAAAGAGCTGAGGCTGAAGCTTAAAAGGCAGCTGGACCCCAGCCTAGGCGCAGTCGTGGGCGTCCGTAGCCGCAAAGGCTAACCTGCGCCACAGGACCCAAACCTGGCCGAGCTGAGATTGGTCAGAGAGGAGGAGAAGGCTGACTCTGATCAGGATCTTCACGAGGCAGGACGCACACCCTCAGGAGCGCTCTGTGTCTGTGAAGCGCCTGCAGGCGTGCCCTCCTCAAATTCAGCAGATTTGCGCAAGCATGCTTGCAGGACCCTGCGCTCAGCGGCGCAAAACAAAGCAGGCTCGGAACTCGATGAGTGAAGCTCATAAGGCACTGGTGTTTGCACCATGCAGGCAAAGCGGAAAGGCGCTGCAAATTCCTTGGAGGAAGCTGGGCTGGCGCTAGATCTAGACATGGCCAATCTAGACTCATGCTTGCGTTGCAGGAAGCTGTGGGACGGCATCATGCCTGCCAGCGGAGGTTGAAGCAAAGCAGGCTAGGTGCTTTGACGGGTGAAACCGTGCATGCGCGCAGGCTTTAAAGTGTTTTGCATGGTGCATGCATGCGCATGCTGCAGGCAAAGCGAAAAGGTGCCGTGCCACCTGCGAATTCCTCGGAGAGCTGGGCAGGCATGGTCTTTGAGGGCATAAACCACTCAAACATGTTTGCCTTGCAGGAAGCTGGGACGGCGTCAGGTCAGCTGCCCTTGGAGGAAGCCGGGCTAATGCTAGATCTAGATCTCTATAGATCTAGCCATGCATGCATAGCCACTTGAGCACGCTTGCCTTGCAGGAAGCTGGGGCGGCATCGGAGGTTGAAGAAAAGCAGGCTGGGCATTTTTAATGAGTACACGCACGCTAGACATGTACTGCGCAGGCAAAGCAGAAAGGCGCCGCACCTGCGAATTCCTGGGAGGAAGCTCATGAGGCATGGTCACAGGCATAGGCCACTCCTTGCCTTGCAGGAAGCTGGGACGGCGTCGGGCCAGCTGCCAGCGGAGTTTAAAGGAAAGAAGGCGAGGCAGATCCTAGAGCTAGCACGCGCGCATGCACCAGCATCATCATGCTCTGCAGGGAAAGCGAAAAGGGGCTGCTGCGCAGGCCTTGACGGAAGCTGGGCTGGTGCAAGAGCCGAAGCAGGCGCCGTTGCATTTTGATATCACAAAACTCTGCACGTACGGATGCGCTGAGTCTCGAATTCAGGCAAAGCCGAAAGGTGCTAAAGGCTGTGCAGGTGTGTTGCTCACGCTTGCTTCATTTTGCATCTCGAATGCACGATGATGGCATGCCCCCAGCTTTCCAGGACCCAGCCTGCAAAGACGCCGCCAAAGCCCGTGCCAAGGTGCCGGGCTTGAGTGTTGCACGCTGGGAAGCCTCCGGTCAATCGTTTGCCTGAGTGCTGTTATGCTGTTCCCGGAAAGTTTTGGCTCAGCCTGCAACCGCTAGCTGCCATGTTGCTGCAACCTCGATGGGCGCCCCTGGTGAACACTTGCGAAGACTGAAACTTGTTTTATGTCCTGCGGCTCGTTCCTGCTGCTGCTCTATGGATTGAGCACGGCTATACACCCCTCGAATGCTGGGTTTACCGCCGCAATGTGAGGCGCTGGAGAAGCCGCCGCATGAAGAGCGTGTTAACTGTCGATGATGAGGGCTCGCTTCAATGCCAAGGTCAGAGTGAACGGCAAATTATGCTGCATCTTGAAGACCCAAGCAAGCAAGCCGGCGCTGGTGATCAGGAAGGTTGGCAAAGGCGGCTGCGGTACATCATGATCGGGCTGCATGTGCATACTGCCTCTTGTGCGAGGTTCCCTCGCCTTGCTGGCACTCTTGCTCTCGGAGGTCTTGGAATTGCGACGCGAGATTGACTCGCCTCGCTGGCTCGCAGAAAAGAGGCACACAATTGCCCCTCCAATATTTGCGACGCCGAGGACATCCGGCAAGCTGTATAGTGGCACTGAGCTGCCTCTTTGAATTTTGATGCTATATTGCATGTACAGCGTTAGCAACATCCAACCTCATGATTTGCCCCCATATAGGGGGCCTTG